CGTTGCAGTATAGACGGATTTTATCTGATTTGGTGTTTTGCTTCCGTATTATTCGGAAGGAGGTCAAGCTAAGGGCTAGTAAGTACTGGAGCTTCAGTCCAACCACTGAAAGGCTGGGTGGGTTGAATCTTCACTATGACCACATCTACCCAAAGAACTATTCATTAATGTTCAATATAGTGTTTAATCGTTGCGCAAGAGGTCAAGCTCACTCAGCCTGCTCTTGAACGACTTACTATTATTTGCTTGAAGAACGTAAGGCGGTAGCAGCTCGAACCATCTTGCGCAACGATTAAACACTATATTGAACATTAATGAATAGTTCTTTGGGTAGATGTGGTCATAGTGAAGATTCAACCCACCCAGCCTTTCAGTGGTTGGACTAAAGCTCCAGTACTTACTAGCCCTTAGCTTGACCTCCTTCCGAATAATACGGAAGCAAAACACCAAATCAGATAAAATCCGTCTATACTGCAACGTATGCAAGGAAAACGCCCTCAGTCGAACCCTGTAGGGAGGGATATCGTACCGACCAGTACAGTTTGTGGACCTAAACCAAAGTAGACGAGTGAATACATGTTGGACTTTCTCAATCTTCAATACGTCCTTCCTCAAAGATGGGCTCCATACTTGTGAGCAATACTCAAGGTGTGGTCGGACATACGCTTTGTAAAGCCGCAATAGGGTAGTCGGGTCTGAACTTCGAATATTTCTCATTATAACAAACAGAGCAGAGTACGCTTTTTTGATAATGCAATCAATATGACTGGAGAATTTCAAATTCGAGTCGAAAATGACTCCAAGGTCTTTCTTTGAGTCACAGGTGGGGAGTGTTATACCGTTTACTACATAATCGACTGTTATACCATCTCCAAAATGCATGACGAAGCATTTTCTTAGGTTCAGCGGTATACCCCAGGATGTTGACCACTCACACATTCGTTCAACTGACAGGTTAAGCGCTTGATGCATCACATCCCTATCGTCAGCGTCATATGCGCAATACACCTTAATGTCATCCGCGTAAATCTGTACTCGGATGTCGGGACGTGTTTTCAGAAGTTGAGGCAACTCCACGGTATATATCAGAAATAGTAAAGGGGATAACACTCCACCTTGAGGAACCCCACTGGTGCAGGGATACCTGCTCGAAAAACTGGTCCCTACCCGAACTGTCATACTCCTCTCCTGTAGGTAACACCTTAACCAGTCTAAAAGCCTACCATGGACACCGTAGAATTCGAGTTTGCGAACAAGTTTTAGGTGACAGACCTTGTCAAACGCCTTGGTCAAATCGAGGTGAATTACATCCACCGATTTTCCATGATTGATAGATTTACAAATGTCGTACATCGTGTCAAGAAGGTTTGTACATGTCGAAACCCCAGGAAGAAAACCGTGATGTTCGGCAGGGATGAGGTTGATGCGATTGAACCATGCCAACAGTTTAACGAAAATCATCTTCTCCATCACCTTGACAGGTGTGGAAGTGAGGCTGATGGGCCTATGGTCGCTAACTGCTGTAGCTTCGGGATGTTTGGGGATAGCCGTTATGATGGATTCTTTCCAAATTTTTGGAACCTGACCTAAAAGGAAAGAGATGTTGAACATGTGGGCCAAGGGTTTGCAAAGAGAACCACAGCAGTTCCTGAAAATTATTTGTGGAATACCATCAAAAGGCTCACTGAGGGAAGGCTTAAGTTTTTTCAGAATGTATAGACATCTCTGGGGTGGAAATAAATATCAAAGTCCCCGCTTTGAGAACTAGCCGCACCGTACTCCAGGACTCCTGTAGAAGAAACTGGAGCTGAGAAAACACTGGCGAAATATTTACCTAAGTGCTTGAGCCTTTGAAGGTTCGCTGAAAAGTGTGGAACCACATAGGTCCTTCAGTGTGGGAAGGGGTGTCTTGGATTTGAACTTGCAGCGAACGTACTGATGCAAACGCTTTAAGGAAGCTTGGTTGCCGAGATGGCGTTCAAGGTTGGATACGAACTTCTTTAAGTGGTAATCCACATCCCTACAAACTTTCTTGTATAGCGGGCAACTCATGGGATTATCCAGGATCCGAAATAAGCGTTCTTTCTGAGCCAACAAATTCCTGATGTGCAATGGATACTTGATAGGGCGACGCTGAGGAAACTTCAGTGGAACGAATAAGGTCAACGCCTTGTAGACGGTCTTGCAGAATCTCCGATAAATGTCGTCCATGGAAACGTAGTTGTTGAATAGACCAAGCCAATCAACATTCGAAAGATACTCATTTAGGCGGTCATAGTTCACTTTTAGAAAATCAGGAGTAGGGAGGAGTGCAGCATCACTGAACCCCTCCAGTAACTCGAAGCGAACGGAGGCATGGTCGGAATTTGCAAGAGGAGGAAGAAGTGACACGTTTTGTATGCTGTGCGAAGTGGACAATACCAAGTCAAGGGTGTTGCTGCCATGCGTTGGTTGGAGGACGTGTTGTTCGAGACCACTTTCTTGGAAGAAATCCAGAAAGGCAGCTGAGGAAGCGTTATCTGCCCGTAGGTTTTTCCAGTCAACCTGTAGATTTAAATCGCCCACAATTATAGAGTTGACCTGAGCGGAAACCATCTCACGAAGAACATCAACAAGACCATCGTCTTCACGCCTTGTAGAGTTCGGGGGACGATACACTACGGTGAACCGGAAATGAGTGGCCTTAGGAGGACTGAAAATTTCCAGGCAGAGAACGTCGGCTTTGATTGGGTTGACTTGTTCAACACGATGAACACAAAGGTTGCCCCTAACCAGACAACATACTCCACCACCTCGACGCTCCTTTCGATCTTGGCGGAATAAAAAATACGGCAAATTAAACAATATTTCAGAATCGAGGATATTGTCCGTAAGCCATGTCTCTGTAATAAACAAGAGATCAGGCTCATACTGCGAAATGTAGGCACGTAAATGTTCTAACTTATTCGGCAAACTACGAGCATTAAGCAAACAGCAAATAAGGACAGAACCACCATGCGCACTCAAGGCGTTTCCCGAGCGTTTATGCTGCAGTTCCGAAGTATGTTTCAGTTGTCCTTGGTGGACTACCCATTCCCGGCTCGCTTTGCCCTTGTTTCGTTCGCGTGCCTCCTGTCGCAGCTCGTATTCACGTTTTCGTTCCTCCGAAGTCATGCTTTTCCGTATGAATACATTAGGCAGGCCAGCGTTACGGAGAAGGCGCGCGTTCGCAAGAGCACGACGCCAGTGGAATTTCGAGGGCAGAAGTACCTTGACCAGCCGTGGACGACCCGCATCTGGCTTGCCCATGCGGTAGATTTCCGAAGGACGACATTCCACGCTCAGAGCATCGAGCACCTTGCTTACCTTATCCTCGAGATCCGCTTGACGTTGGGAAGGGCGTAGCGAGCTGTGTGCTTCCTCAATACCCGCAATTACTATACTGCGTTCACGCTTATCGCTCTCAAGGAAATCCGTAAACTCCTTAGGTATTTTCTCTGCAAGGGCGATGAGCATGTTCTCAATGGCTGGATCTCTATTAAGCTCCATAATATTTTTTATAAGCTCCATTGCCGACATATTTTCGAAATTCGCTGACTCAGATAGAATAGACTGCGAATTGACAATGCTAGTGGAGCTGGAGCTGGGTTGAGACAGGGTTTTGAGAACCTTCTTGGCACGTTGTACTTTGGGTGGCATTATTTTGATCTTTGATCTACCTAATATCGAGTCGATTTACTAGGTAACGAGGAACACAAAGGCAAAACACCAAACAAGAGAAAAATGGAGAATAAATTGAAAAAAAATGTCAGAACTTAAGATAAGGAAAGCAGCTTAGGCGTATAACGAAAAAAAATCTATAAATAGAAA